ATGGAGAAAATGCAAGGGAGGAAGGAATGAAGCTTTTGGTAGGGGATAGCCAGAACAAACTATAAAACTATTTTTATAAGGCCTGAATTCATGTAGAGTAATAATGGACCATAGAATTGTAAGACTTCAAGGTTGAGTCACCAACTCCCCCATCGAGATTTTAATACAAATCAAAGGCTTCAGTTCACAGACACAGGATGAAAAAATATAATTTTCTTTTTTTGCAATAACAATTTTCATTTTGAGACTCTGAGAAGATAAAAAATAGCCTTAGGCTTTCAAGATGTCCTGACCTTTCACATTTACACCGTGGTATTGTGGAGGAGAGGTCATCTGTCCTGAATGTCACTGCCCAGTGACCCGAGCAAGTCGTCACTAGGACATCCATGCTTCTTGCCCACCTGTACCTTTAGTTCTGAAGCTTCGTCTTTCTTTTAGAACACTCTCAAGTCCATCTGTGATGCCCTGACTACATAGACCCACTAGTAAATACCAATACACTGGAGATCCCTAGCCTGTAGGGTAAGTTGTATATAGCTCCCCATTGTAACTGCACAAATATTTGTTTTGTTGCTTCACTGGGATTTGCCCAGGAGGCAGCCATTGTGCCCATCTATTCAGAAAGTATAACTATCTATACTGTCATCCCTTTCCTTCAGCTTCTCTCTCCTACGCAATACTAGTGAAGCTTTTTCATGGGAGAGAGACAGTCCCACCCTCCTCAAAGCACCTCAAACTTTTAGATAATTCAAGTGTCTTCATGTTAGTGCTATTGATCACTTTGGATCAGACAATTCCAAATTGTGGTGGGCTGTTCTGAGCATAAAGAATTAAAAGTACCATACCACAGCGATATATGTGCACCCATGTTTATAGCAGCACAGTTTGTAGTAGCTGAAATCTTGGAAACAGCCCAAATGCCTGCTAATTGGTGACTGAATAAAGAAGTGGTTTTTTTTAATAAAATGGAATATTACTCAGCCATAAAGAATGATAAACTAGAGACATTTATAGCTAAATGGATGCATATCAGGGCTATACTCTTAAGTGAAATAAATAGGACATACAAGTAAATACCAAATTGTCTCTCTGGTTTGAGGCCCACAATGTATAATAGATAATGTGAAATAAGAAGCAAAGGTTCAAGGGGGATGGAGGTGGGGTGGGGAAAGGAGAGAAGGGAAAGAAAAAAAATATGAGAAAGGGAAAAACCAGAAACAAAGCTTTTGTAAATAGGGAAGGGTGGAGGGGTGGAAGGGAAGGAAAGGGAACAAACAAGAACTAAGGTACATCATGCACAGGTACAAACTCCCAATGATGAATGTGATCATAATGTATACCTAAAATGTACCAATAAAGTTAAGAGGAGTGTTTATTAGCACTTTAGCCAATAAATTCAAGTAGCACCCTCCAATTCTTGACAATCATTACCCAAAATAACCAATCTTGGCTAAACCCAAGAGTCCCCTCTGTTCTTGTAAAACCTAAGCTTTGATACATAATATCTAGGGAGGGACTCAAAAGCAACTTGCTTTGCTTTTGAGGAATGCCTTGTCCTCTTCCTAAGGCAACTCATGTAAATGGGAGGAGAAAGACAGATGCTTAGTTAATCCTGACTGTCAGCTCCACTGGATTAGGGTACGGCGGTGGTTAGCAAAGCTAAACAAAGCTCTGGGAGAGCCGTGTAGGTCTGGCATTGGGCCCTGGATACGGACGGTCACTTGTTCTTGGTCACCCCTCTTCCCCAGCTCTGCTGCCTGGCTCATGTGAATTAAGCGTCTTGCTCACACCGTGCCCTTCTGCCACGATGACTCCACTTTGGAACCTGTCGACCATGTACTGAGTCTCCTGAAGCTGTGAGTCAAAATCAACTTTCCCTTGACACTGTCGGTGTCAAGTATTTTGTCCCCCTGGCAAAAAGTTGACCACGTGCTAAGGAATGTAGTTATACTTAAAAGGCATAATTCCACATGTGTTATGTTTTCTTACATTTTTCCTTAAAATATACGCCCCATGTTCATTCCAGTGCCTCATTTTGTGTGTATATATTACATTTAGTATATGGACTATGAATAATCATGCAAAAAGAAATTTGGGCGGGAAGGAGAAAGATGCAGCCCTTAAATTCTGATCAATACAGCTGGGAAAAAATTATTATTCACATCTAACACATACTTCAGGAACCATGGTTCTCAGTATTGACCTTCCCTTCCAGGTTTAGAACTCGCCCTCCCTCTAGGGAACTGAAGCAAGACCTGGGTTTTGAAGGGGCTGCGGGTCAATGACCTTGCACATTTAAGCCTTTAACCCTACAAGAGTCACTCTGAGGAAATCAATAAGAACTAGCAATAGCTCTACTGACGGCCAATCTTTTGTCAGCTCATATGTAAGGGAGATTTCACCCCAGCTCCAGGGGCTACTATCTCTTATTTATTCATTACTTTATCATTCACTCATTTAAATTTCATAAAAGGTATTTCTTGATTTCCCAGAACATGAATATCCATGGGGGTTCCCACAAAATGATGCTGGAGATTATAGTTTAATTTCTGTGATGGTTTCTAGGCCTTTATTCTACCGATTCACTTATCAGCTAGGCACAAGTAAGGAAAAACATTGGCTGGAACCCGAGGCTAAGAGAAGGGGAGCTATTTCAGCTGAGACCCCTTGTTCAGAAAATCTCAGTTAATTTCAGTTTTAAAAGCCGTGCACACAGGGGCCTTTGATGCTCCCCTGAGCGTTAATACTGATTCCTGTTTTTATTCACATACTTCGCTGTTATTTACCATGACTCATTTTTCTTCTGGCTGTAGAACTCTAACACAGCACACTAATCGTGACATAAACCTGCTGCACTTCTCCAACTATGTGGGGGAAGAGAATCACCGCTGCAGTGTTATTATCATCCACTATATGTGGATACACTGGCAGGCTTCTATATGAAAGCATTAGCCCTGTCCCTTCACCAAGACGCAGCATACACCAAGCTTTCTTCCCTAAGCATCTCAGACCTGCTACAGAGGCAGCATGCACACAGATGTAGGTCTGCAAAGAGCTCAGCATTACCAAGCTAGGGTAGGACAGTTGCTTTTCTCTCCGATTGAATCAGACTCCAAATGTTAATTCAGTGCACAAGCTGGTTCATTTAGGGTTCCCTGTCTAAGGGTGGGCCACTTTGGATTTCTATGTTTGTGATTTATGCTTGGGTATGGCTTGTAAGTTTGCTGCAAATTTGAATATTCTTCTAATACCCTCTAAATAAATATTCTGGTTTACATTTTTTCTCTTCAGGGATTCAAACAGTTCATTATGTTCTACCCTGAAGTATCATCATCGTGAATATTAACTGTTGGAATAGCTGGTGAAAACACCACCTAAAAAAGTGTTCTGAATACATTCCAAACAAATTCCTTGATCATTTTAAATGTGGCGTGGAAAGGCTAACAATGATGTACTCTGTTCCGTACCAGACCTTGTGACGAGATGAGACAGATCATCTCATTTAATTCCCACAACTGTTTCCGACCTGTATTGGTGTCTCATTTGGATGTCTCTGAAAACAGAGTTTGAGAGGAGGGCTTCGCGCAGCTGGTACATCAGGAAGGTGATCCTTGGGACCAAGAGTGAGGCTACAGAAAGCAAAGCAGGAAGGAGGAAAGACCAATATAAAAATGTGTTATTCAGGGACCATGGTCAGCAACAGGGACTCAATTCTGCCTGACCTCTTGAGAACAGACAGATGTCTCCTGAAATCATTCAGGAGGAGGGCAGGAGCGGGGTACCTATCCACTGATTCACAGGCCCCACATGTATTAATCTCAGAGGTAGGGGTTCTCCCAGGGAAGAAAGCAGAGAAACTAGGCCTTGACTGCTAAGAAATGAGTGGAGTTGGGGCAGCAGAAGCTTCTGTCATCACCTCTATCTCCCACACCCACCACAGAGAGGAAACCAAGGTACTTACTTGGGGGGTCACTCACCCAGCTTAGGCCATAAAGCCAGATAGGGGTGGAGCCAGCATTGAAACAGGGTGGTCTGACTTAAACAGGAGCCCAAACCTCTCACTGCTGGACTGTTGACCCTCCCACCTGAGTGACAAGAGGGCCTCGTACCACTGTGCCCTGCACAGCTCCACCTAGAGGTTTCGGTAGTCCACCCACCAATTTAAGGAATGGCCCATCTTGTTTGTTTGTTTCCATATTTTGGCTCTCTTTCTTTTTTCTCATTGAGTTTATTGGTACATTTTAGGTACAGTTACATTCATCATTGGCATCTTGTACCTTTACATGACAGCTCTTGGTTCTCATTTTTTTCCCCTTGTCCCTGCCCTCTCTTCACCCTCTCCTCCCTTCCCTATTTACAAATACTTTATTTCCATTTATTTCATTTTCTCATTTTTTTTTCTTTTCCCTTATTGCCTTTCCCCTACCCTTCCCACTTCCCCTACACCTTTAGCCCTTTCCTTCCTATTTCACACTGTCAATTATCTCATTAGGATCTTATGTACTATTATAGTTTTTCATACCAGAGAAACTATTCGGTATTTACACATGTGTAACTTATTTATTTCACTTAAGAGTAAGTATATCCTCAATATGCATCCATTTTCCTATGAATGACTCTAGCTTCTCATTCTTTATGGCTGAGTAGTACTCCATTTTATGGAAAAACCACATCTTCTTTATCCAGTCTCCAACTGATGGGCAAATGGACTGTTTCCAAGTTTTAGCTATTACAAACTGTAACCCATCTTAATGATATTTGCTCAAAACCTGCATTTTCTCCTCTGGGAATCAGTTTTCTTCTTATTACAACAACCCAGGAAGTGGGTGCTACCACATACAGTGCAGTACATGCTACTACACACTGCATCTGCATTTCCAGGAGAAAACTCAATATTTTTCACTGAGACTACAAAGGAAGAGAAAGAGGGTCAGACTGCATATTACTTGAGAGGGAGAAAACATAGCTCATACAACTTTTTAACTGCTTTTACATTTTTATTAAAATATTATTCTTCAAAGAGTACAGAAATACATCTGGCAATAACCTGCTGGAAGTGAACCTTCTGCTTCATACATACATAAGAAATATACCCAACCAGGCCGGGTAGTTCAGTGGTTCTGCCAACTGCCTTGCGAGCGCAAGGTCCCAAGTTCAATCTGTGGTACAAAAAGAAAGAAAAGAAAAGAGGAAGGAAGGAAGAGAAAAGATAAGAAATACAGCCAACCAAGTTCCGCTTTATTAGAATTTATTTAGTTATGCGTATATACATATATATGACCATATATGCATGTGTGTGTGCATACACACACACACACACACACACATATAATGTATGCATATATAGTCAGAACGACACCAAATGGCTACATTTGACAGTCTGGATAGAATTTTCTGGTTGTTTTTCTCCTTGATAAAAGTTGTAAAATTTATGAAAGCTTTGAAAGATAAGACTGAAAGGCCACAGCATGAACTACAGAGGCCAGAAGCAATAGGTGGCATGCACTCTGGGTCCAGCCCTCAAGAGAGGTGCCAGTCCCCTGCTTCTGCTGTGAGCAAACAACACTGTGAGGCAATAAACCCAGAGAGGAAGGCGCTCCCTTTCCAGGGCCAGGGTCTTTGGGCTCACATTCAGGAGTCAAGACACCACACTCAAGAGAAGGAAATGGAAACTCCCCACATATGGGCTCAGCTTCCTCCAGAGGACGAGGGACAACGTGACTAATGGAGGGGATGTGCTAGGATCACTGCCTTTGGCATGTGGAAATCTGCCTATAAGGACACCCACTTCCTTTCAAGCTTGGTCAGGGGCTGACGGACTCCTCCAAGTACGATTTAAAAGAACAAAACCAAAACACCCTAGAGCAGCGACAGCAGACCTATGGCACTGTTTGTTATCATTACAAGCTCTAAAGATTCGCCACTACTGACCTACAGAAAAGAAGAGGCTGGCATTTGATTTTCCCTCATTAAGAATGAAATGTCAGGTTTAAATTCAGCCTCATGAGATCAACTCCAGAGCAGACTCAAACCATGTGTGGTCCCCTGGGACCAGAGAGCAAAGGACACTGCCCTCCCTCCTCCATATACTCTGGTTCTTAGTGAAACTTCCTTGGGAAGAAGGAAGTGAAGAGCTCACCTGGGCTGGGTTTTGCCTTAGCAGTTTACAAGATTTTGTCTCCTTGTTCTGTCCATCTCTGCCTATGAAAACCAAAGTTGTACCACACACTGAAAAAGAGCTCAGGGCACCTGGCCATTCTCTCAGACTCGTGCCAGTCTTTTAGACAGAGTCACCTTTCCTAAGCAGGTAATTTGGCTTGATGTTTCCAATGGACCCAGCTCATGCTAACTTTGCATTTCTAACCACCTTATAATTCTAAAAATTTCCACAAAATGGTGTTTCCAATATATTTTACTCGTACAGATTGTCACATAGCACCTTTCAAGTGAGATCAGGTGGAGAAGACCACAGTGCCATGAGTATTTCTCAGACTTTCTTCCCCACCTTTAAACATTGTGTTTGTTTAAAGAACGTAGTGTAAGGAACAGGCCACGGTGAATTCCTTCAGTGCTTTCCACCTGACACTGACCATGCCTGGAGGTCCACATGCTCTTCCCAGGATGTTGGGAGGCCAAGAGAACGTCAGGATAGTCAAGGAGCAATCTCCCTTACCCCAGGGCACATCGACTGCCATGTCTTTCACACAAGGATGAAATCGTCATTCCTCACTCACATTCCCGGGAGAGGAATGAAGGGTAGCAGGGGGGATACAAGTCACAATGGTTGGGACTTCCAGAGAAACGTTATCTGATGCCATTACCCTATCTCCTCAATGTAAAAGGTTCTCTTGTTTCTTTTATTTGTTACCCAAATAGGCAACTTCTTTTTGGCTACTCCACTCCATAATTACCTTGGACTTCCCTTACAGCAGTGGTTCCCAACCTTTTGGGTCCTGTTTTGTGGAAGACACTTTTTCCACAGACAGGAGTGGGAGAGGCAGGGTATGGGATAATTTAAGGTCCCTTGCACGTGCGATTCACAATAGGGTTCACACTCCAGGGGGCACAGCCCATGTAGTAATGCCCAGGGGGTATAAATACCAATGAAGCTTCACTCACCCTCTGCTGTGCACCCTAGTTCCCAACAGACTGTGCACCAGCTGGACACCCTTAGAGTTTCCTTAGAGGATCTCTGCTCCCTCTGAACTCACGGGTCTCTTCTCTCTGTGTGGTCTCTGACGACCCCCAGGGAACCGAGGAATCCCCAGAAAATGCTCACCGAGCACCTGTCCCAAAACCTGTTCCAAGATGCCCCCTCAATAATGAGGATATTTGATGTTACATAGACTTCCCTTTCACTCAAAAGCATTTGTTCCCTATAGGAAGAATCAGCCTACGGTGGGTTGCAATGAGGTCACATAGATCATATGGCCACAGTGAAGGAGAGCAGGGAATACAGAAGCTCCCTATTGCTTCAGAAATTTACAGTCCTTGCTAGGAATCCACCTTTGGGAAAATGCTCACTTTATTGTTTCTGCTTATCTTTCGCTCCACCCTGCTCTTGGGCACCTTTGTCTGGATTAGTTCTTCTGGGGTATTGCCCAAGGGCGGAAGCAGCCTCTTCTTGCTGTTTCGGGTCTCTGACAGCCACTGAGGGGGCAGCTCGAAAGGTCCAAAGCCAAACTGCAGGGAGTATTTATCAGGGAATGTGTCAGGCTCCACAGAGCCTGCTGGTGCCACCTGGGATGTAGAGTCCACTGTGCCCAGGGGTGGTACAGGAGGGGCCACCTGCTCTCCCTCCAAGCAAGTGGTAACTACCTCCTTGGCCTGGAAGTCAGCTGAGCCAAGGTACTTCGCTTCATTTTCTTCCTCATCCTCTGTGGGCTTGAAGATCTGCTGCTGACCAATGTGGAACATCTCCAGGAGCTGGCTGCCTGAGCGCACGCTGGGCTCAAGGCTGGTATCGGGCATCGCACTCCCTGTGCTAACCACATTACGCCGACTGTACCGATGATGCAGCTGCACCAGAGTCCCTATCAAACATTTGCGGACAGATTTGTTCACAGTTAGAAAGAGCACAGGGTTTGCCAACAGAGAGACCTTGGGCAGCCAAATGGCAGTGAGCAGCAAGAAGACGGAGGTGTCGGGGACATTGAGTACAGTCTGGTAGACGACCAGGGTGGCATAGGGCACGCTACACAAGATGAAGACCATCACCATTGAGAGCAGGGTGGCATGCAGCTCAGCCTCTCGCTGGGAGGCATAGGGGATAGAGATAGTGTTCTGTGGGGTCCGAAGAGCCGCAATGATGACCTTCTTCTTCTGGCTGGCACTTAGGGCCCGGCGGATCAGGATCAGGAAAAGAAACACCACAGCAACAGGCACAATGACCGTGGTGATATTATAGACCAGGACATACACCAGGTGGCCCAAGGAGTTGCTCCAGACTTCTGTGCAGGTGGACATGGCATAGATGTCAGCTACGTTAGTCACTGCAAACACAGGGACACTGGCCACCACTGCATGGGCCCAGATGTATACCACGAGTTCCCGGGACTTGGCATCAGATATTTTTCTCTCCAGTGGATAGAGGACTGAGTAGTACCTGCACGATACACAGAAGAAATTGATTTCACAAAGGATACTCTGTAAAGTTAGAGGACTCTAAATCACCAGAAGTAGGCAAGAGGGGAAAGAGCCAGATCCTTTCTTTTGGCCTAGAATAGGGAACCACTGGTGGAATCCAGAAATCCAGATCTTAAATTAAGGATTTTGGTATGCAATGAGAAGCAGCACTACACACACACACACACACACACACACACACACACACACACACACACACTTTTTCCAAAGAAGCAGAGTCCTTTCTTCATGTGCTGTCAAGACTCTCTACCAGGAAAACAAGTAGCTAAATTTAATCCACAGCTAATCTTATAATTACTGCCACCAGGGTTAAATCCTACAAGACCTTCAATATAAAGGATGTCTCCACCTGCTATAAAGACATTTGTTTTTCAATTTAAAGGTAACTTGTAAACATTGTACATGGGGTAGAGAAGCTTCCGGGAAAATTCCAGAAACATTCAAAGCCACTAGCAGAAACCTGTAGACACACCCATCTCAAGCAGATCCACACCACAGTCTATAAATTGGCATTTAAGCTGTTCAGGGCAGAACCCCAGATGAAAGGTGAATCCCAAAAAGGTCCCACTAACAAACTCTTCCTGCTCAACAGCCACTGTCCTCACAGTAACTGTAAGAGAAGTTTGTAGGTCTAAAATGCCTGCATAATTAAATTTATATTAAAATCAGGTGTGAAATTAATTCCTTCCAAGCTTCAACTTGATTGTTCTATAACCCCCTAAACAGAATCCCAGTGATTTGGGGGAACTGAAAAATTCTTCAAACCCAAGAACCACATCTATCATGAAGGGCTGCCACCAGCCATCAGCCATATGGTGAGCTTCTTCCTAGAAGCCTGGCCCCATCTCTGCTGTTAGCTAATGCTGGAGTTGACCTCCCAACCACGGCAACCATCACTCACTCACATGCGTGACCAGTATCCCTGACTGCCACCACTGTACCTGCATTGTGCCAGGCCCTGGGTACACGAACGAAAAGATACATGGGGATATCTCCACACTCAACAGGAAGACATGCACACCAACAGTGACCAGCAAGGAGATGATGGCTCTACTGGAGGCAGGAGAGAACGAGGGGCACCTAAAACTACCTGGGAAGACAGCAAAGAGAAAGCAGAGCCATGCTGGAGGCTGGCAGGGAGACAGTGCGGAGGATAAAATCCTAAGCTGAGATAGGTATGAGGCAAGCACAAGAGTGACCGTGGATGATCGGGGAGGATAGAACATGGTGAAATATGTTCTACATTTCTTTCTGGGAAGGGAAAACAGAGGGAGTCATGTATAAATATGCATGCTGCCATTGTCTCTGAATATGGATCAATTGCTTCTAACCACAAGTCTATAAATACGTGCAGGCCCCACCCTCACACACAAACACATGCCTAGGAATCTGCTGACTCTGGTCACCAACTGCTCACTCGCATGCAACAAACCTAGGTCCCCTCAATTTTCCATCCCATTATGTATTGAGAAATAGACACAACATAAGAACTCAGGATCACTACAAATAATTTTCCCTAGTGTAAATCTTTAGAAGATGATGCAGGAAGCGTGGGCACCACTTAACTTGCTGACGTGGTACAGTGAAACAAATACCTGCAAACGAAGTAAAAGCTCATCTTCTCTTCGTCTTCACGTGTACTGCACTGACACTTGCAAATAATCTGTATTTCTGAATAAGAGCAATTTGCTAGTCTTATTTTACTATTAAAAAGGCTTGTTTACCTTTTGTGTTAAAAGGATAACAACAGGGAAGAAAATAAAAATTTCTTATTTGCATATTTCCTTATCTAGGATCTAGGGCCCACACAGGACCCACAGGGATTATCACATTTCTTCCAGGTATAATGGCAAAATGTTCAGAATAATGTATTCCCACTGTTGCATCTTGTTGTTAAAAAAGCTCTCAGGATTCTTAGCAGCATTATTCACAATAGCTAGAAAATGAAAACAAATGTCCACCAACCGGTAAATGGATAAAGAATATAACACATCCTCCAATTAAATATTATTGGCCACAAAAACGAATCAAGTGCTGACACATGCTATAACATGGATGAACCCTGAAACTAGGCTGAGTGAAAGAAGGCAGGTACAAAAGAACACATACTACATGATTCTACTTCCATGAAATGTCCAAAAACGTGCAATTATATAGACTAAGTAGATTAGTGGTTCCCAAAGTGTGAAGACGGCAATGAGGAGCAATTGTAGGGGATGAAAGTTCTAATAAGCAGTGCTGGCTGTACATCTCTAAATATGCTAAATTTCACTGATCCACACCCTAAAACTAGGTGAGTTTTATTAATATGCAAGTTATATCTAAAAAAACATTTGTTTCAAAAACTTCCAGGAAAGAAGAGTCCAGGACGTAAAAGATGAAAGTCTTAAGGGATCCCTAATGTCAGGTGCAGGGCCAGCTACTAAAGAGGATGAGGCAGGAGGACTGCTTAAGCCTAGGAGTTCAAAGCCAGCTGATAATATAGCAAGATTCCATCTCAACAATAAATAAAAGACACACCAGGGAGCAGCTGTGTGGACCAGAGTGGTGCTGCTGCAGGCAGGTCCCAGCTAGGGCCCCACCCAGACCCCAGAAATATGGATACACATGCCAAGGCCACAGGCCACCTAAAAAAGAGCTGCATAGACCCAAAACCATCCTCCAGAGTTCCACCATACCATCGGTAAGTGTGCACACACACACCAGGGAGCAGCTGTGTGGACCAGAGTGGCGCAGCTGCAGGTGGGTCCCAGCTAGGGCCCTGGCCCTCCCAGACCCCAGAGGTGGGGGCAAACATGCCCAAGCCACAGCCCACCTAGAAAAGAGCTGCACAGGCATGCAAGCTTCATCCAGAGTCCCACCATATCATCGGCCATAGCCAAGGGCCCACCTGGAAAATAACTACACAGACACACAAGCAACGCAGAAGCTTGCCCTGATACCACTGATTAGTACCTGAAGATCCTAGCCAGAAGCCCACACAGACAACAGGAACTTAGATACATAGCCCCCAGCCAAAGGTCCCCCCCAGACAGCAGCTATATAAGGGCCCCAGCAAAAGGCACACCTAGATACCATCCCAAGTGTGCACAGGCCCCAGTTAGAATCCCACCCAGACAACAAGTCAACTGAAGGATACAGAAGGCCACCATTCCAAACCCAGGAATTGGTGCACTGGTGAGGAACACAGTAAAGGCTGCTCAGTGGCTTGCTGAGAATTGAAGACCACTGGGTGAGCAAAAAGTTGACTCAACAATGGCATAGCAGGCTGCATCTGATGAAATAAGAAGACACAGAAATGTCTCAAAACCAGACTTCCAGATCACCTCAGGCAACCACAAAGGGAAACAAGATGGAACAATCTTTCCAATTTTAGTATATGTGCTGCCAAAGTGAGCACATAGATGGAACAATCTGATACTCAACCACCTAGACTCCCTGAAATGGCAATGAAAGAGGACCTAGAGAAAATGAAATCAGAAATAATTTCTCAGATAACAGCAGAGATCATGCCCATAGTGCAAGACATGATTAATAAATCTAGAGCAGACACAGATTTAAAAAAAAATAGAGGAGCTGAGAAACATGATAGAATCCCAACATAGGAAACAAATGGAATTCATAAAACAGACACAGACAGATTTCTAAGACATTAAAAATTCCATTGAAAGTTTACACAGCAGAACAAGCAAATGCAAGGACAGCATTTCAGATGTAGAAGATAGGATTGCAATTAGTGTCCAGGAAAAGAAAAATCTCTTAAACATAGTGAGGGACCATGAGAGATCAATCCAGCAGCTGCTAGACAATTCAAAGAAGAATAACATAAGACTGATTGGAGTCAATGAAAAAACAGCAGAGAGTGCAGATGACAAAAAAACTGTTCAGTGAAGTATTGGCAGAAAACTTCCCAAATGCGGAGAAAGAACCTGACACACAGATAAGTGAGGCTTTTAGGACTCCAACTAGCCATGATCAAAAAATCTACAGATAGGCATATAATAGTTAAGATTCCAGAAATCCAGCAGAAGAACAAAATTCTACAAGTAGTTAGAGAAAAGAAACAAATCACGTACAAAGGAAACCCTATTAAAATCACAGCAGACTTCTCAACACAAACCCACAAGAAGCACTTGGAGTGCTGTATTTCAAATCCTAAAGTAAAACAACCTCCAACTCAGATTGATGTATCCTGCAAAACTATCTTTCAAAATTGATGGAGAAATAAGATACTTTCATGACAAAAAAGCATCTTAGGAACTTCATGAATACTAAACCAGCACTCCAAAAAATTTTAAACAATATCCTAGGAAAAGACAATGAGGATCACAACCCCAGGACCCCAGCATAATGAATTCATCACAAACAACAAGAAATTAAATGAAAAGGGGGAGAAGCCAACAAAAAGAAAAGGTCATGACAAGGATAATTAAATACATATCAGTTATGACCATCAGTGTTAATGGCCTCAATTCACCAATCAAAAGAAACAGACTGGCAGAATGGGTCAAGAAGCAGGATCCAACAATACGCTGCATACATCAAACACACTGAATTCAAAAAGAACTCATAGACTGAAAGTTAAAGAGTGAAAAACAATACTCCATGTGACAGGAAGCCCCCCAAAAGGCGGTAGTAGCTGTCCTCTGCAGATCAAGTGAATTTCAAACCAACACTGATGAAGAGAGACAAAGAGGGACACTACATACTTATAAAGGGAACAATCCAAGAGGAAGTAATGACAATCATAAATATATATGCACCAAACACAAGTGTGCCCAATTATATAAACAAATACTAATGGACATGAAAAATCATATAAGCACTAACACAATAGTAGTGGCATACCTCAATACTCCACTGTCACAAATAGATCAACCAGATAAAAAATAAACAATCAAACAGTAGAACTCAAACTCTTGAACAAATGAACTTAACAGAAGTTTACAGAGTGTTCCGCCCCACAAAATCAGAATTCAGTTGCACATGGATCAGTCTCCAAAATAGACCACATACTCACTCACAGAACATGTTTAAATTAGTGCAAGGGAACTGACGTTATATTATCAGACCACAGTGTAATGAAACTGGAGATCAATAGCAAAAGAAACCACAAGAATTTCATAAACATGTGGAAATTGAACAACACATTTCTGAATAAACAATGGGTCACAGAGGAAATTAAAGAAGAAATCAGACAGTTCCTACAATTAAATGACAACAACAGTACAACACACCAGAATCTATGGGACACAATGAAAGCAGTCTTAAGAGGGAAATTCATAGCAGTGAATACTCATATTAGGAAAACAGAACAAGCTCAATTATACAACATAATGCTGAACCTCAAGCTTCTAGAAAAAGAAAAGCAAGACAAACCCAAAGCTCATGCAAGGGAGGAAGTTATAAAGATCAGGGCAGAAATTAATGCAATGGAAACAAAGAGAACAATACAAATATCAATGAAGCCAAGAGTTGGTTCTTTGAAAGGATAAACAAAATTGACAAACCCTTAGCCAACTTGTCAAAAAAAGGAAAGAAAAGACCCAAATCCATGCAATTAGGAAATTACAATGGACCCAGCAAAAATCCAGAGGATCATCAATACCTACTTGGAGAATCTATATGCTAATAAGATGGAAAATACAGAAGAAATGGACAGATTCCTAGATTTGTATGAATTATCAAAGTTGAATGAAGATGACCTAAAAATTCTAAACAACCCAATATCAATCAATGAAAACTGGGTGTGGTGGCGCATGCCTATAATCCCAGCACTCAGGAGGCTCAGGCAGGAGGATCGCTGTGAGTTCAAGATCAGCCTGGGCTACATAGTGAGTTCCAGGTCAGTCTCAACTACATAATGAGACCCTGTCTCAAACAAACAAACAACAACAACAACAACAATAAAACAATATCAATGAAATTTAAAACATAATAAAAAACTTTCCAGCTAAGAAAAGTCCGGGTCCTGAATTCAGCTTCACTGCTGAATTCTACAAGACATTTAGAGAGGAACTACTCCCTCTCCTGTGTAAACTCTTCAGTGAAATTGAAAGGGAAGCAATACTCCTGAGTTCATTCCTGGAAGCAAGCATCACCTTGACTGAAAAGAGAACTATAGGCCAATCTCACTAATGAACACAGATGCAAAAATCTTTAATAAGATACTTGCAAATAGAATGCAGGAGATCATTAAGAAGATCATACACCCTGACCAAGTGGGATTCATCCTAGGGATGCAGGGATGGTTCAACATATGCAAATCAATAAATGTAATACACTATATTAATAGAGCCAAGGACAAAAACCATATGTTCATGTCCAATAGACACAGAAAAAGCACTTGACAAAATCCAACACACACTTATGAAAAAAACCTTTCAAAAAATTGGAATAGACCATCTCTACCTCAATCTGTTAAAAGCCTTCTATGAAAAACCAAAAGCCAATATCATACTAAATGGTCAAAATTGAAATCCTTCACACTAAAATCAGGAACAAGACAAGGACGTCCACTATCACCACTCCTGTTCAATATAGTTCTAGAAACATTAGCCACAGCAATTAGACAAGAGAAAGAAATAAAAGGAATAAAGATAGGAAACTAAGAAGTCAAATTGTCATTATTCGCAAATGACACAATACTCTATTTAGAAGACCCTAAGAACTCCACCAAAAGTCTTCTAGACTTAATAATGAAATTCAGCAAAGTAGCTGGATACAAGGTCAACAAACAAAAACCAATAACTTTTCTGTATATGAAAAACAGACTCACTGAGAAAGAAGTGGGACAAACGATCCCTTTCACAATAGCATCCAAAAAATTGAAATACCTAGGAATCCACCTAATAAAAGAAATCAAAGACCTCTACTCTGAAAACTACAACACTCTGAAAAAAAAAGAGAGACTGAAGAGGATATCAGAAAATGGAAAGACATCCTTTGCTCCTGGGTAGGAAGAATCAACATAGTGAAAATGGCCATACTTCCAAAATTGCTATATAGATTTAATGCAATCCCAATTGAAATCCCAGCAGCATACTTCACAGACCTTGAGAAAACAATCCAAAATTTCATTTGGAATAAGAAGAGACCTAGAATAGCAAAAGCAATTCTAGGCAATAAAAAGGAAGGGAGTATCAAAATCCCCAACTTGAAGCTATACTACAGAAAATACCAAATAGTTTCTCTGGTGTGAAAAACTATAATAGTACATAAGATCCTAATGATATAATTGACAATGTGAAATAGGAAGAAAAGGGCTAAAGGTGTGGGGAAAGTGGGAAGGGTAGGGGAAAGGTAATAAGGGAAAAGACAAAAATATGAGAAAATGAAAAAATGGAAAAAAAAGTGTTTATAAATGGGGAGGGGAGCAGGGGGTGAAGGGAGGGCAGGGACAAGGGGAAAAAACGAGAACCAAGACCTGTCATATAAAGGTACAAGATCCCAATAATGAATGCAACTGTACTGTATATCTAAAATGTACCAATAAACTCAATGAAAAAAGAAAAACAAACTATACTACAAAGCTACTGTGATAAAAACATGGTGCTGGCAAAGAAACAGACCTGAGGACCAATAGAACAGATTAGAAGATGTAGAAACAAGTCCAGACACACTCAGCTACCTCATCTTGGACAAAGGAGCCAAACACCTTACCTGGAGGAAAGATAGCCTCTTTAATAAATGTTACTGGAAAAACTGGGTTTCAACTTGCCAAAGATTAAACCTAGACCTATATCTCTCATCAAGCACTAAACTAAAATAACCAATGTGGGAAAACCTTTTCACCAGCTCTTCCTCAGACAAAGATCTACTATCTAAAATATATGAAGAACTGATAAAAATCAGACCTCCCAAATTTAAAGACCCAGTCCAAAAATGGGCACCTGAAATGAACAGACACTTCTCAGACAAAGAAGGAGAAATATCAAATTAACATATGAAAGATGTTAAAAATTAACATATCGAGAGATGCAGATGAAAACAACAATGAGATTCCACCTCACCCCAGAAAGACTGGCTGCTACCATGAAATCAACTAATAACAAATGCTGACAGGGCTGTGGGGAAAGAGGAACCCTGCTCTACTGTTGGTGGGAGTGCAGACTGGTGCAACCAATGTGGAAATCAGTATGGAGATACCTCAGAGAACTAGGATTGGGGGTCCCATTTGACCCAGCTATCCCCCCACTGGGTATCTTGCCCAAAGAATTAAAAGAATCATACCACAGCGATATATATGCACCCATGTTCATAGCAGCATAACTCATGATAGCTAAAACTTGGAAGCAGCCCAATTGCCCATCAATAGGAGACTGGATAAGGAAAAATGTGTGTGTGTGTGTGTGTGTGTGTGTGTGTGTGTGTGTAGGTGTGTGTGTGTGTGTGTACGTTTATAGAGTACTACTCAGCCATAAAGAATGAGAAACTAGAGACATTTATAGCTAAATGGATGCACACTGAGTGGATACTCTTAAGTGAAATAAATAGGACATATATGTATAAATACCAAATGGTTAGTGTGAGAAACTGAAAGTGTAAATAAGGACTAAAAGGTATAACAGTTAATTTGAAATAGGAAGAAAAGGTGCAAAGCAATGGGGAAATGGGAGAGGTAGGGGCAAAGAAACATGGGAATGGAATTAACATGAGAAAAAAGAAGGAAACAAAGTCTTTGTAGTTAGGGAAGGGTGTAGGGGTTTAAGGGAGTGCAGGGAAATGGGGAAAAAATGAGAACCAAGATGGATTACATGAAGGTGCAAATTTCCAATGATGAATGTCACTATATTGTACACCTTAAATGTACCAATAAAATTAATTAATTAAAAAATAAATAAAAAGGCTTTGTGATAGCAGGTAGGATAGGGCTGTCAGAAGGACTCCTGCCATGAACACAGGTGACTTCACACAAAATACATTATAGCACCCACCAGAATGCAAACTTGGGGCAAGGACTCTTGACTTCCGCATTATGAATGATGGCAATAACTAAAATATGATTAATTTCCAAATAAACATCCTTTTAAAGATGGACAGAGAAAACAACCACAACAATATGAGGCCTTGGAAATAAATCTTCCAGAGGGAATTCAGCTGGTCTGTGCTTGGTCCTGCTGAGTCATCTAATCATTAGTTAAAATAACCACTGAATTACTCCTTGTTCTTCCTGAAATGTTTTCATGTTGTATCCAAGAATCCCAACTGCAGAGTTATAAATCAGGTGAGCAATCTACTCCAAATCAGACGCAACACCAATTCTAACCCAGCTGAAGTGGCAGCATGATCCAGCCCCGTTACAGTGTAACTCCCCACTCAAGCCTTTGCTCAGGGTCTTATTTTCCATGACTGCATAGAGACAGGGTCTCATGTGTAGTTCAGGCTAACTTTGAACTCACTACAGCACTACGTCGCCCAGGCTGGCCTCGAGCATGCAGCAATCCTCCTGGTAAGGCTCTGTTTTGAACATTCATTCTCTTTCTGTTAACCACAGCAGGTTAAAAATCAGTGTACAAAACAGTGACGGTTCATCACTCATTCCACAAGGCTCATTTTTCCACACACTTGTAAATGCTGAGCGCCGGGCTAAGGTATCTCACCTGTCCAGAGCAATGGCGGGGAAGCTGAGGATAGTCACAGAGCAGAAGACTTTGTGCAAAAACTTGACAACTTTGCAGAAGAGCATGGTGTAGATCCACCAGCAACAGTGAGGACTGGTGCTGAGGATGATGTCGAAGGGCACACAGACCAGGCTGGCGAAGATCCCCGAGCAGGCCAGGTTTTTAATGAACCTGTTGGTGACAGATTTGAACACGGCTGTGCGGCAAGTGGACCATAACACCATGAAGTTTCCTGGCCAGATATGTAAAGAAATGAAAAACGTTAACCCTTTAAAGAAAAGTGAAAGAAAGAAAGAAAGAAAATACAGGTTTAAATCTTCTAAAATGTATTTGAGAGTTGACTTCCATATATCATGCTGTCAGTTAATGTGAAATTATTAGATCACACATACCAAAAAGTCTAGATGACACTTAAGAGGTGAGTTTATTATTTAATTTTAGGCAAAACAGTATTATGATGATAGTGCTTCAGTATCAAAGGCATAGAAACAATTGACTAGGTATTGTCTAATCCCAGGCAGTCTACTCTCATTAAACTTAAGTTTGTTGGGCCGGGGATTTAGCTCAGTGGTTTGGCAGCCTGCCTCATAAGCACAAGGACCCAAGTTTGATCCCCGGTACAAAAAAAAAAAAAAAAAAAAAAATTAAGTAAAAGCCCCAATTGTTACCCCGCAAAAAAAAAAAAAAAAAAAAAAAAAAAATTTAAGTTTGTTAATGAATTCTGTGTTGCTCAAACACAACAGAAACACAATGTAAGCCACGTGTATAATTTTAAATTTTTCTAGTAGCTATATTTCTACAAAGTAAAAGGAAGCAAGTGAATTTTTTAACCCAAGTAAATCCTAAGTATCATTTCAACATGTAATCATTACTTCAAATCCTTAGTGTTTTCCATTTTATTTTACACTGTCTTCATAAGCCAGGGTGTGTGTGTGTGTGTGTGTGTGTATTCTTTTTTAATATACACTTACAGCACATCTCAATTTCAAATGGTCACATTTCAAGTGCTCAAGGGCCACACGCCATTAGTGGCTATTACGTTGGACAGCAGTAGACTTTTCAGCAGCAGTAACACTGAGTGTGCTCTTGCTGTGCCTTAAAGCCTACACTCTCCTGGGTTCCCCCTCCCTCCCCATCACCACTAATGCCTGGGTGCTGTGTTCTTTTTCTAGGCCCTCCTCCTTTCTCTGTGACCTCTGCCCTGGTTAAATTACCCATTCAGATGGCTTTCCACCAAAAATTCATGTCCTAGAGGCTTCTTATCTCAGTACCAGATGTTTTTTACAACCACACTTTTGATCCCCTACCCCCTCTCATCACATGGTTCTCCAGGACCACCATCTAGGGCTAATCTCACACCTTTCTTCCCCTGGCTGGCAGATACACCAGTCACTCTGGCTCTTTTTTCCACTCTTAAACATATCAAGGATTATCCAGCTTCAGTGGCCTGTAACAAGTCATTTATACTGCCTCACTTGCTCCTCACATGTCTAACTTGCTTTAATCCAGGTCTTTGTTTCAATGCTGCTTCTACTCTAAAAGACCTTCTCTGAGCATCTTTTTATTTTAAATACTCACTGTTCCTCCCTCCATTATATTCCTTGGCAATTCTTACCATAAACTCTAAATTTGTTTTCTGGTTGCCCCTTCATTTATCAGGACAAAAAAAAAAAAAAAATACATGTTAACCTTGTTCACTGTTACAACACCACACTCAGCTCGGTATCTGGCACAGAGTAGGCATCCAATAAATATCACTGAATAAATTAATTGGTACAAACAGTGATCAAAAGGCCCTGAAGTGAGAGGAGCCCTTTTGTAATACATATATCAGTCACTCAGGGGATCACAGGGCACACTGCAGCAGAATGACATACAGAATCAGTTATGAAGTATCCACCAGGGACACGCAGCTGTAAAAGCACCCAGAGCAGTTGGCCCCAGACTGAAGTTTCAGAAACGCTACTTCTAGACACAGCCCCCCAACACACACGGCCCCCACCCCCACCCCGGTCACCCAGGACCCTGGCTTCAGGTGCACACAGCAGCCTGCTTTTCCCGCTGAAATTCTAGGTCTCCCGGCTGCTCCCTCCTGCACACATGCTGACCCATGCTGTCTGATGAATGCCGCTGAGAGCGGAGCCAGGTTCTGAAGAGGAGTGGGGGTGCCTAGCGGGGGACAGTGGGGGTTCAGGGCTGCAGTGGAGGTCATTATCAGAGCCCACTTAAATCTGCTGCGCAGAGAGTAGGTATGTCAGAGTATATGCAGTGCTCACAGTCTGGGGTATCTCCAGGTAATTGACTCTAGATAAATGAGCTGTTCCCTTGAAAGAAGTCAGACCCTTAGGATTTCCTTTTTCTCTTCTCTCCTCACAGTTAATCTTTTCGGTTTGGCAGTTATGCTGAATAAAACACCTTGAATAACAAAACAAGGAGGAAAATTCATCACAAAGGGCATGATGTGGGCCAGGGGTCTCTCTCCTCTTTTGAAATCTAACCGAAACACAGTTCCATCATTACTCTCATATTCTACAAGCCCAAACACCTTTCTCCCTCCCTATTATGACAGGCATATTTTTATTTTAAAAAAATTTTTTTTGGTACCGGGGAACAAACTGGGGTCCTTGTGCTTGCTAGGCAGGCAGTGACACCACTAAGCTAAATACCCGGCCCTTTTATCATATTTTTAAAGTCATGCTTTAGCAATATATATAATAACAATTTGAGGTCAAAGTATTCTGGCTTTGGGAAAGAGGAATATACCATCTTAGGAACTGTACTAACAGTATAATGAACATTTTATTAGTACGTCCACACACGTAAATGAGGAAACTTGTTTCGACTTGTATTTGTTTCTTTTTAAGACAGGCAGGCTGCCACTCACAGTGCTGCTTCTGGAGGTGTCTGGAGCCTTGGAAGCATGACTATGCTATGGTCTCCTACAAATGGGCCTTGAGGGCTTGTTGGGAGGGTCTAACAGGGGAGTCAGCTCCTCCCATCCCCTTGGTGAAAGACTGGTCTTTCTCTGTGGGGGAAGTCATCCTCCTCCACCAAGCACACAGCTTCGGAAGGGACATACAAGGAGCAAACAGAGAGGAAGGGGACATCTTCCTAGTCAGCCAGATCAGCCAATTAACCCTGATGATCAATGGGGTGAAGGGCAACAGCTGAGATCAACCTCACATGCAGGAAACCTGTTTGCAATGATTATGGAAAATATGAAACCCGAGACTGCTACAATTACTTCTTTGAGGGGGTGCAGAGGATTGAACTCAAGCTGTTTACACTGAGCTATATCCCCATCCCACCTCCCTAACTTCTTTCTGTAATATTGAGACAGTCTTGCTAACCTGCCCAAGTTGGGCTTGAACTTGCAATCCTCTGGCCTCAGCCTCCCAGAATACAGGGGTGATAGGCAATGTGCCATCGTACCTAGTTTAAAATTACATTTTATCTAGGAACTAACCCCTTCATGCTATTAAGAACCTAACATGCACACACATCCCAGTGAGCTCACATTATAGTCTCCAGAGAGCCCGAGGCAGCTACTCCTACCAGTCAACACACAAGAAAGTTCACAACCTTTGGCCAATTTTTTAAAATTATTACTATTCGTTGATATTTTTCTGTCTCTCCCAGCTGATCACTGTCACCAGTCAAACGTAAAGATTTTAATTAACTTGAATCCCAGTTATTTCCATTTTTTTAAAAATGAGCTCACTCATGCAGTAGTCACAAAGTACACTGGGACCACGTACACATACTTGTTTCAGAAAGAAGAGGAAAACACTGAAAAATACAAGTGTTTACTAAAAACAGGAGGGAGTTAAAAGAGAACACAAACCAAGAGTCCTGCTCTCCAGGGTACAGCTCTGGATGTGTAACACGACTGTGTTTCAAGTACTTGAGTCTAGAACTTCAAAGTACCATTTCTGTTTCAGGGTGTGTGTGTGTGTGTACATGCACACATGCATGTGTTTCCCACATATCTTATTTTTTGTGATTATTAAGATAACACATAATTTTAAAAATTCAGACAATGCATAGAAGTATGAAGGAAAAATTAAGAATTAGCCACCCAATGATAACTAACTGTAAACTTTAAGTATTTATCCTTCCAAACTCTTTATATATACAGACTTTTATTTATTCCAGTGGGACCAAACTATACATTCTGCTTTGTAACTACGTCTTTTCACCATATGAACATTCTGTGATAATAATATATCATTATTTTAGGAGCTATATAAAAACAACAGTGTTTTATAATTATTCTCTAATTAATTTTATTTATTATATATTGGTGAGTTTGCTTAAACTGTATCCAATATACCATTATTGTGAAACCTGCATGGAGAATTGAACTGAATGTTTATGAATGAGAAATTCCTAGTAGAATTTCTGGGTCAAATGACTGCACAATTTTTATTTTTTATTTTTATTTTCTTTTATTTTTTGTAAAAAAATCGAACTCAGAACCTTGCACTTGCAAGGCAGGCATGGTGCCACTGAGCTACGTCCCCGGCCACACAATTTTTAAATATACCTTGCCAAATGCTCCTCCACAAATGGTGGATGAGAAAGGTGGTTTCCCCACATGCTCGCTAAACGTTCTCCTCTTTCACAAAAATGTTTGCTACTTTGCACGCTTCCTCAATTCTAGTATTTGTTTTTTTTATATCTATGTGTCTCGAAAATTTTCATCCATTTGCCTCTGTAACTTTCCCTATTCTTTCCTCTTCCAGATCTCTTATTAGACACAGGAGTTACCTAAAAATATAGTAAATGTGTACATTAAAAAAAAACTATAGACAATAAAAAGTAGAGAGACAGATCATCCTCAGTGGCCAAGAGGATCAAGAGATGAAGGGGAGATGAGAAAAGCAATGAAAAAAAAAAGGACTTGGGATGTGTCATGAACATGTACCAACTCCACACAAGGAATGCGAGTATTATTCACTGCAATCATAGACTAATAAACTAAAATAATAAAAAAATTGTTTTAAATAAAATAAGTCAGACTATACTAGATGTGGTGGATAAGGTGGATGAGGACACATCATAAAAGTTTTTTTGTTTGTTTGTTTTGTTTTTGTTTTTTTGAGACAGGGTCTCTCTATGTAGTTGAGGCTGGCCTTGAACGCACTATGTTGCCTAGGCTGGCCTCGAACTTGTGGCAATCCTCCTGCCTCCGCCTCCAGCATGCTGGGATTACAGATGTGCACCACCACA